CGCCCACCGGAGGGTGCTCACTAACACTGCAGACTTTTGTAGCTATCTTGAAGGCTCCAGCCATCCCTACGGATGAATGGCTCTCAATCCTCAGAGCTGAAGGGGGCCTTGGCAATCACCAACTTCAACCATTTATAGATGAGGAAATTGAGCAACAAGAAGTTAACTTCCTATCCCAAGTCTTAAACTAGTGAATAACTAAGACCCAGGCAGGCCAAGGGCTTCTTCTTCCAAACTAAGTGTTTCTATTACCAGGACTGCCCCTTGTCAGCTTGGAACCTCCTTTTGTCCAGCAGAGGGGCTGCTCTTTCATCTTCCCTAGGGCCTGCTAGAATGCAGAAGAAAGTCGATGCTGTATTGCCTCTCCCGGGTGCATCCCACTGCAGATCGTCTGTATTTTTCCTAGGAGGAGTGCTGTGTGTGTTCTCTAAATGTGCATTGTACCAATAGGTCTGTGTGCTTCCACCATAAAAAGGCTCTGTTACTTCTCCTGGTCAAAGGTTTCAGGATGAATGTCTTGTAGCATGATACGTCAATATCAAAAGAGATCAGGTAACCCTGGTCAGTGGCCTATGAAGAAATTTCCTTTACAAGTAAGGAAAACTAATAAACCATTGTAGAAGGTGTAGATGTTCTGAGGCACTCAAATTCCTAGGCTCCGTCTTAAAATAGACTTCAAAGCTCACATTCATTTGTTTCCAAGGTACCCATTTTTTCAGGTTTTGTAAGGCCTCTTTTGAGGAACAAAAGTCTGCAAAGTTCTTGTTAAGCTCAGGCCTGTGAATTTGTTCTACCGGTAAATGTTTTTTTAAAGTTCCTTGCCCTAGTAACATACTAAGGAAATAGAGAGAGGAAAGATCTTGTCAACAACAAATCAGATTATTTAGCAGACTTAAATCGCACCCATCATGTGCTAGTGTGCTGTGTGTAAATGAATTTATGCAATCCCTCTAACAACCCTAGAGGTAGATGGTCCACCATCCCCCTTCATACAAGGGAGAAATGCACACCCCACAACTTGTGAGTGTGGAAGTCAGACTCAGACCAAGGGGATCTAACTTTAAATCTGTAGTCTTAACTGCTACACTTTACTGCTTCTCCTTGAGATAATAAAGAGAAAGTCAGGAAGGGACCATTTACCAATGCCTGAGGACTGAGCTCTGGTCTCTGGGCAGCCACAGCCGCCCCCAGGCTGGACGCTCCCGCAGGTGGCTGCCCTCAGCACCTGGGCGTGACGCCCTCCCTACCCTGCCTCCCTCTCCCTATGGCATCACTGAATTCTTATGGGCAGCCACAGCCGCCCCCAGGCTGGACGCTCCCGCAGGTGGCTGCCCTCAGCACCTGGGCCTGACGCCCTCCCTACCCTGCCTCCCTCTCCCTATGGCATCACTGAATTCTTACGTCATCTTTTAGTTATCTTTCCTAGCTTTGGATGCTACTTAATTTATTTGTTTACTATGTGTATTTGTCTTGTCGCCACTCTCTCCTATACTGTAAACTCCAGGAAAGCAGGGATTTGGCACAGAGTTGCCTCTTCTGTTCACTGATGTCTCCCAAGCACCTGGAACAGTATTTGATACATGGCAGCTGCTAAATAAATATCTGTTGACAGAGAGAGAGAGGGAGGGAGGGAGGGAGGGAGGGAGGAAGGAAGGAAGGAAGGAAGGAAGGAAGGAAGGAAGGAAGGAAGGAAGGAAGAAGAATGCTCATGAGCAGACTATATGTACTTGCTCTGAAATAGATTAGCTAGACGGCTTCAATACCTCTTCCAAATCTAACAACCTCTGATTCCAAAAACAACCCAAATTAGGATTTTCAAAACACAGCCACCCTAGGAATTAGTGAAACTCAAAGCCAGAAGACCCAATTCCCTTACACATAAAATGGGAATATGACAAAGTGGTCAACAGTCCCAGTGGGTGGTGAGACGCAAGCATACAGAAACTTGGTAAGCCCTCCAGTGCTACAAGGGGTGGGAGGACTCATCACAACCACCGTCACTATGACAGCAGATGATCTGCAGCCTGAGACAAGTGTCTGAGCCTCCTCAAGCCAGAGGCAGACCAGTGAACAAAGGCGAAGGAGCCAGCTTCTGAAGCAGAGAGCTCCAGACTCGGCCACCTGACCCCACATCTGCGTTGGTTCAACAGTTCCTCCCCCTCCAGTCCCTCCTGTCTCCCCTCCCTGCCTTCTCCACCAGCCCAGGGCTTTATCTCTTCCAGACTGTGGGCTTCCTGAAGGCAGGCCTCCACAGGCATTCTATATTTTTTTCCCCGAGAGCCCCCAGCACAGTCAGTACCAGATGCTCATGATGGCTAATGGCTTTGTCTTCCCATTTGTATTAGCCTAAAAGCTTGCAAACCAGGGTTGGCAGGAGACGCACTTGTAATGGACATCTGCCCCTCACTCCTTCCTCTGTTACCATCCATTCTGCTAGCATCTGCTGAGGCCCTGTCATCTGTCAGTCACTGGCAGGGGCTCAGAATCAGATGTGGTGAGAGCCGTGCCTGCCTTAAGGGAGCCCATGGGTTAGGGTGTCTAGAAGGGCAATTAGGGCAGCTCTTCCATCTCCAGAGGCTATAGAGGATAAGTGCTCAGGGACCAAGAGCTGGGAAAGGTCTACCTGGGAGTACCAGGGAGGCTTCCTGAAGGAAGAGACACTGGGTTTGCTGTTCGAGATTGAGAAGGATTTCAATAAACAGAAACTGGATAACACAGGGGGAGGGAATGTGATGAAACAAGCCAGAGATGTGAAAGAGCCACCAAGTCCAGTGTGGCTGGAATGGAGAGTGCAAGTGGAGGGGCCGTGGGTAATGGAGCTGTTGAGCCAGAGTGGAAGCAGCCCCTGTGCCAGGCTGAAGGATCTGAACTGTATCCTGTAAGTGGCAGGGAGCTGTTGGAGGTTTTTCTGCAGAGTTGGCCATTTAGAAGTGTCAATATGGAAGCATAATGTAGGTGCATGAGCAAAGCCAGGAGGTAGGGGGCTACTGTGTGAGCAGCGAGAAAGCTAATGGTGTGGAAAGGGCACTGGGCTGTCACCAGGAGACCCTGACTCTAGTCCTGGGTTCAGCCATTAATTCCAGATGAGACCCTCTACCCCATTCTGTAAAATGAAGTGATTCAGTGAGATGATCTCTATGTACCATCTAACTCTACGATTTGTTGATATAACTGATGTAGAGCAGTTTCTCAAACAGTCTCAACACTTCATGCAGAGGTGGTTTCTCATGTTGTTAAGACGACTGGTTCAATTCTTCTGTGACTTCACCAATTACTTTATAGATAATGGCAGAGCTAAATTGGGTAACACTGCCTGAGCTGGGTCAGAAAAGGCAAATATGCGATTTTTCACGTTTTAATATTTTTAGTACATATTTATGATCCACCTAATGCAAAAAACATTTGTTACATAATATAAAACAAAGAACATTAAAAAGTGGTTAAACTGTAAGTAAAACAAGAGGTTTTATAAAATAAAAATAAGAGGTCATCGATTTGGGCTCTGAGCTTCCCGGTAGCCAGAGCAAAAACAGAGCACAGTAGGAATTGTAGTTTAGTGGTCTCAGGTGTCTAAACGATCTTCTTCCTCTACAGCTAGAGTCCCATCTTATCTGACACATCAGATAGGCCCTTCTGGGGGACACAAATGGAGAAATTAGGGTGCTTAAGCTGGGCTTCAAGAATCTCAGGCACTCAATTAATTTGAGGTAATTTAACTTCCTTTTGACTCATGGATACATAAAGATGTAGAGGTGAGAGTGTTTGGGGCCCTGCAAAGTGTAAATGGAAAGGAGTCTTTTTGAATGATAATTCAAAAAGGACTTTCAAAAAGTGTTCATTTTTTCTAGTCTGGAGATGGGGACTAGAAGAGCAATTCAAGAGCATTTTACCTGATTTTCAGCATAGTCAGACATCAGAAAGAGGTCAACGGTAGTAGGACCAACCTCACAGCTCTAGGGCATGTGTCTGTGAACCAGGATAAGGAGGACCTCAAGTTCTAAACTCCCACTTGCCTTTCCTAAATGGCCAAAGGAGAGAGGGGACCCCCATGGCCTGAGATCTGCCATTTCTGTCCCTGACAAACTGTGTGGCCATGCAAAGCTCTCTCATCCCTGAACCTGTTTCTTCTTGGTAAAGCAAGAGGCTTTTTTCAGCTCAGAGCTAAAAACCAGAAACAAATGAAACCTTAGAGAAATAACTGCATACAACCTCTCACCCAAAAAAGAAAGAGGTGATAGTCCTGAGAAGCTGAGTGACTCACAAGCAAGGGAATGACCACCCGTCAGACTAACTCAGAAACTTCTCCCTCACAGGGAGCTGAATTATGCATCCCTCCAACCCACTAGTCCCAGAACAGAGCAGCTCCAGTAGGCAAAACACCATCCTGTGTAGTTACGCTACCCACACAGGGTCTCAACGTGACCCCAGGGTCTCTCACGCACTTGGCACTTGACCTGGGCTACACAGCTGTCACTTGATCAGCCATACTTTGGTGAATCCGATTTTGAATTTATTGAAGGGAGAGGTCAACTCCAACTTTTTATTCTGCTGCAGTGCTTAGCCTAAAACCTTACTGGGGTCCCAGTGAATCTTTTAGAATAAATTCTTCCTGGAGACAAATTACTCTACACCAGGATATAAAACTGTCTGCCAATGGGACAAAAGTTACTAATGCCAAATACAGGCAAACCCTGCCTTGACTTTACTTCTCACTCTAAAAGGCTGGTATCAGATATCCCAGCTTACGGCCAACATATATGAAAATGCTTTGTCAAGCATTGAGTGCTGTTGCTACAATGTGAAGATGACTAATAACCTCTCTATGCTGTGTTATCTTGGAGAATTGCCTTAACCTCCCCAAACCCAGTCCCCTCTGCCTCAAGTGGGGAAAATGACCTTCCGCCCCAACCAGGATTGTACAGATGTTTATAAGTTATGGAGTATTTATGGTTGCTGCTTAAAGGATAGTTTTAACTAGTGCTATTAAGAAACAAATTGAGTTGAATCATTTAATTGCTATTTATTTTCATAAACATGAGGTATTTCAAAGTGCTATAAGATGCAGCACTAAATATATACATTTTGAAGAAATTAAACACAGAACTTTGCATTTACCCAGTTCTATGCACCAAACAAGAACAAATACATTAACAGGAAGAAACAGGCTAGGAAAAGGCATATATATATAGTAAATTTCTTTACAAAAGTTTCTTAGTTCAAAAAGTGATAAAGTAATATCTACTCAAAACTTTCACAACTCATTTTCATACGAAAATATAAGTATCAAATTTAGTTATGTATCAGCATCATACTAAAGTATACAGGCAGTGTAAGAATTAGTACAGTACATAACAGAGATTAACAATAGATTTGTATACAAAACATGCTCCTCAAACATTGAGGTATTATTACAGTACTTAGGTATGAACTTCCAGTCTAATACTGGCCGCAAAAGCCACCTCTCATTACCCAGGACGTATACAAAAGGCGGGTGTGTCAATGGTATTTACAGAAATGTTCCCCAGGGGTTTCAAATGGCAACCCCCTTACGTGGCATCTGCTGGAACTTAAGCACCATTTTTAAAAGAAGGAATGACTTTCTGTTTGGAAACCTGGAACAAACAAGGTGACTTCAACAGCCCAAAGGCTCCCAATGTCACGAACTTCTACCGCTGTCATGGAGGCGTGGTGGAGGACACTGCAAGGACCACCTGGCATCCCGTCATGGTGCAGGCTCTCTGAGGTCCTGGCAGAACCCCGCACGTCCTGCTCCCCGCCCAGATCCAAACTCGACAGGGGACTGATTTGAAAGTAAACCAACATTCTTAATGTCAACACAATGTTTGTTAAAAAAAAAAAAAAATCAAAATGTGCAAAGTGGCAGTGACTGTCCAGTTTTGAGAAACGTTTAGCAAGTCCGAGTGTGTTCAATTTTCTTTAGCAACTGCTGCTGTCTTGCCTGCAATTTCTCCTTTTCCAGTAAAAGCTGGTGCTCCTCGGCCTGCAGGGAGTGGACGTACTCGGTGGCCTTTTTCAAAATGACCACCTTGGCAGCCTTCTCGTTCCTCACCAGCTCCGGCACGTGGTCCCTGAGCGTGAGGAAGCTGGAGCGCAGGTCATTGCGGCGCTGGCGCTCCAGGATGTTGTGGTTGCGGCGACGCTCGCTGTCCTCTGAGTCAGAGTTGCGGGGGCTTAAGCTCTTAGCCTTTGGGGGGATGACACTCTTGAAGGGTCGCGGTGACACCTCACTCTTAATCTTCTTCTGGGGCGGCGCGTCCTCGCTTTCCATGTAGGGTGACGGGGCGGCATAGTTGTGCTGCTGGTGGATGGGGACACAGCGTTTGAGAATCAGCTCACTGGACTGAGCCCTCCCCGGGCCCAGGGCTGCATTCTTGGGACGCACGGTGATGGTGAAAGTGGTGACAGCCTTGCTGCTGGAGGAGGAACGCCGCTTCTCCACGGTGACCACATCAATTTCCTCCTCTTCATCTTCCTCTTCATCATCTTCATCATCTTTGAGGAAAAGATGGGAGTTACTCTCAGCTGAGCCACATGTGACTTAAATTAACATATCCACACGTCTGTTTCTTTTATGGCAGGCCCTGGCATGGTTTGCTATTATTATGGACCCATCAACATAGATGTGAACAGAAATATCTTATTTTTTTGGGGGGGGAGGAAGGGTCTCTTTAATTTAAATATATCTGGAAATACTTTTTCTTCCCCAAACCCTACTGTGCTTTCAGTCTCCATTCAAAACTTTAGCAGGTGGTGGAAATATAAAGAACTTGGGCTTTGGGTCAAACCATCCTGGGCTCCATTGTTAACTAGTTGCACACACCCTAGACAAGTTATTTAACCTTTCTAAGCCTCAGTTTCCTTAGCTGTTAAATGGGGATGATAATATAGCATTTTCGAATTTGACAGATAATAAGTAGACTTGGCACAGAGCTGGGCCTAGTAGACAGATGCCCAGTAAATGGTGGCTTTTATCATAATCACCAGTCTTTCCTGTAGACTTATTTGCACTTCCATCTCCACACTTAAGAATTAAGGCTCCTCATTTTAGAAGCCCCATTTAGCAATTTACACATAGTTGTGTTTGATTTTCAGTCCTTAAACCAACTTGAGGAACAATTTAATTAACTGAGGAAGAAAAATAACTTTTCTTGCAATGAACATGAGTTTTATACAGTGAGCAATTTTTCACCTAACGAAGATCAAATCTTAACTACAAAGTCAGAATCCACAGCAGCTACAATCCCCAAAAGTGGGAGCAGCTCTCCTCAAAGTCACCAGTAATAACAGCAGCAACAAAAACGTGTAGCCTCATGTGTGCATTTTTTCTCCCCTCTCTCCTCATTTACTACCACGCTGGGATAGAAAATTATTGTTTAAAATGCAAGCATGAAAATCAAAACACATCTTCTGCTTGATCTGAAGGGGACCGGAAAGCTGAACAATTGTGGGATTTGTTCTAAAGCCGAAATGTGAGGCTGTTCCAGTCTGTGGGTCCCTTTAAGCCAATGTTTTGGTTTTCTGCCAAGAAGACAGCTGTTGGAAGGAAGTGCTTCCTCACCGAAAGCTGTCAAGGCACAGACATTAAAGGGACAGAGCCCTTCAAACTGCAGGCTTATCACCAAGTTTCCTTCCAGGAGGTTCAGAAGGATCAGTCCTCAGCCCTGGAGGAAATTTAGACTCTTTATTCATCTGCATTCTGAAAACACTGGTTTTCAAGGTCCAAGGGTGCCCCAGCTCCCTGCTCCAAGGACAAGGGCTATTTCAGTATTTGTGTAGAGTTCTGTGCTGGATACTTCCAGAGCCCCAGGTAAAGACTCAGCTTTAACCCTTCCCCTCAGTTTAAGAGAGATAAAGGCACACAATGGAACTAATTAATGATTCCTTCCAGGAAGTGTGCATTCTTGGAGAGGCTGCTAAGTACCCGCCCTCCCCTTCAAGGGCACTGGGTTACAGAACACAACTAAGATCTCAAATTAGGCCTGGAATTGGGAACTAAGGTCTCAAATTAGGCCTAGAATTGGGGCTAGAAGACAAAACTGGACCCAGTTTTCACTGCACACTGGAGAGAGGGCCCTTGACCATGTACACAACCGCTGTGGCACTTGCTGCCAGCTGCTGAATGGAGCGAGGGAGGGGGGGTGACCAACCCCCCCCCCCCCCCCCCCCC